ATGTCGCATGAGGCTCTGTTTTGTGAATTGCGCGCGCGTCGATTACGGATCGAGAAACAAAACTCGCTTAGCGTTGCACAGCGTCACGCGTGCTCACTACCACCTGAGCAGCCAAACTTTTCCACTCGGATGTGCCGCATTCTAAAAACTTTTACTTGCAGCCATGTGAATACGTGCGCGCAACGGCCAGGAGCAGCGGCATCAGCAGCAGTTCTTCTCCGCGAAAGAGCTATATAGGATTCCACCGATTGCGAAACGCTCTTGACTTTTTGCCAGTAGAAAGAGAGGGAGTGAGAGAGAGAGAGAGCGAAAGAGAAAACAAGGAAAAATCAATGATGACGAAGGCTTTTGCTATAGCCGGTATATAGGCTGCTTCTGCTCCTCCCGAGTTTTCGTCTCTTTTTCAGCGGAGAGAGCCGAAGGCGAAACTGTCCTAGTTTGTATGGGAGACACGCACGAGCGCGGCCTCTGCGCGCTCTCTTTTCTTCCTCTTCTTTCTTTTCTTCTTCGCCATCGTCGTCGTCTAGAGCTTCGGTAAACTGTCTGTATCCTTCACTGGTATATACGTCTGTCTGTCTGTCTCTCTTTCTGCTTTTTTGCAGTTCGAACGACTCACTTTTTTAAGGGGCGAATGTGTGCATAGATGAGACTGAATCAAAACCGTCGACTTTTGCCGGGTCAACATTTTTATAAGGCTTCTGGAATTTTGATGTTTTTGTTTGTCTATTAATCCAATAACCCAATATATATATAGTAAATTATACACGAAATGACGATAAAACTTATCGTGAGTTAGGAACGGAATTTATTATTCAAACTATTGTGCTAAAAAAGGATTTTAGTGCATTTTTTTAATATTTGAGAGTTTTATTTCTTTTAGTATATTCAAAATCGAATTCAATACTGCGTAATTGAAAATTCAACAAGGTGACCATACCGATGTCAAGAAGAAGCTGCGCATTGAATTTTAAAATAGTATAATCTATTGAAGAGAGAAAGCGTCGATGCATAAAAAATGCAGAGCTTGGGGGATAATATTTTTTCGCTCTTATGCACTTCTGAAGAAACTGTAGAACTCATTGAAATATGGAGAAACTTGTTTGAAGATAGTTCACGAACTACAAGTGTATGCATACAGTTATTATTTACGCGGGCATACAATTTACCTAACAAAAAAAGTTTCGTTCAACAGTGGTTTACTGCAAAATTATTAATGAGAGTATTAGACACACGCAAAATTTTTCAGAAAATAACATACATTTTCATTATTCTCAATTATGTGAAAACTTCATTGTTGGCGTAGAAAAAGAAGACCCAAAGGAAGAGGTCTTATTTTTTACGATATATTGTAGTTATTTTATGACTTTCGAAACGATGCACTTAATATTTTATGTCCATTTATATTTGTATTTATGTTTTACCAACATGCAGCATACTTGAAAAAATGAATCGTGGAAGGAAATTAAAATTTTTATACGTGAATGAAAAAAGTACGAAATAAAATTTCATTGCAATAGAACTCCACACACAATAAACTGTAAATAAGTATATAATCCTACAAATTACATGAATTAACGATAAAAAAAAGCTAAAACAGACGTTAGGTGCGAAAAATATGCAATAAAGTTTCTGTAAATTTTGAACGAGCCACATCGGCGCGTATATCCCAGAAACGGTACATCGTAACTAGCGCACGCGTTGCCGCCCCTTTCAAGTACACGCGGCCGTTATATAGCAATAGTGCACCAAGAGAGAGAGAGAGAGAGTGAGAGAGAGAGAGAGAGAGAGAGAGAATGAGTAGTCCCCCCCTCCGAAGCCTCGTCTCTGGCAAAAATTGCTGCCCACAGAATCCCAAATTCTGAGCGTACGAGTGAATTCAAACAGCAAAGGCAGTGACCATAAACGTTAATGATGCCGAGAACTTGTGGAGGAAAATAGTTGGCGTAGTAACAAAAAAAAAACCGTGGAAGATATACGAGTGGCCAGAGGAAAAGAGAGAGATAAAAAAGCCAAGCTGGTACATTTAATTAGCCATCGTATAGAGTATCCCCTGCAGACCGCAGATGTAACCACTTAACGTATCCTCTCTCACTCTCATTCCCTCTTGAGCCTGCGTGATTCCTCGCTACGGAAACGAGGCCACTCTGCGCCCGCATTACGCGTTATTATTTGCGGCGCGGCTCTGTGCCACAGTGACGACGAGCCACCTCCGCTAGGCTAGGGAGATAAATTGATTTCGGGGGATTAAGGCGGAAAGCGCTAGAGAGGCTCAGGGATATTTGCCGTTTTCACTGGGGTTGCCAACGAACGCGAGCGTTGATTAGAGAGTCTTATCTTCTTGCTTGTTCGCGTTTTTTTTCTTTTTCCCCTTTCCAGGAAGAAGCGACGTTTGTTTTAAATAGGGATTCGGGGAAGGTTAATGAGAATCCACGAATCGTTTGAGGGTTTGAACTTTTTATTCTCTCAAAGTTTCCGCCGTAGCTTGCAGATATTGAACGACAGCTCCATTTTCGTGAAACGATCGTATCGTAAAGGAGTTTTTCTCATAAACAAGCGGATCAGGTATTATTATCTCCGATAAAGTCCAATGCAATAGAAATCTTATCGGAGATTCATAATGAAGGAATCGAGTATTTCTCTTTGTTACTAGTAAGCACAATAATTTGAAAGGGAAACATTACAACTAAACATCATTTTGCAAATAACGAAAGCTCTTATAAAATATTTTATTGTAAAATTATTGAGTGTTTACCTTCATTTATTAGTTAAATTGTGAAAATTATAAATTTTCTTTACTATGGTGAAAAAATTATTCTAATAAAGTTATCATCATAAACACTTTTTTATCGTGAAGTACTCTGTAAATGCTTTTATTTTTTTCTTTTCGAGTTTCAAAATTTCAATTACGAGCACTAGAGAGTCCTCTTAACCTTAATACCTTCTTTTTTTTTTTTAATTTGGTTTGCCATGCTTTTCTGAACGTTAGAGTGAACGAAAACCACTTTTGAAGGGCTCAATTTGCTCCTTTAGATAAGTATACCAGATCAAGTGAAGAATAGTCAATTTTACCATTTTTATTATAACTTTTACTAATTTTTTCAAAATTCCTTTTAGACAAATTTGCAAAAGTTCTCATAGAGCGGTAAAATTAATAATTTCAAAAAATTCTTCACTTAAGCTGGAGTACTGATCTAAAGGAAGAAAATGTGATCTTTATCAAAAGTGATATTCATTCACTCTAACGTTCAAATAACCGTGGCAAACCAAATTAAAAAAAAATAAAATGTTACAATTGAGGAGACTTTTTAGTGCCTGTAATTGAGATTTTAGGACTTAAAAATACAATGAAAGCATTTACCAAGTACTTTAAGATGAAAAAATGTTCATATTGTAACGTAATTAGAATGATTTTTACAGCACAGTCAAGAAAGCTTATAACTTTCATTATTTAATGTCAACTACCACTCTTAAATAAAAAGGGCATTTCTATAAAAAAATGCATAATAGTGACGGATAAAGTAGTATATGTAGTTGAAAAAAGTAATTTATGAAAAACATGTTGAGCACAAAGTAAACAGACTTTTAGTGGCGAACAATATGAATACAGGAGATTGTTAAACATAGGAAAAATGTTTGTGGATTTTCTTTCAAGCAAAAGTTGTGATAAATTTTTCTCTTACATAGGTATTTGGAATCACCTGATTTCGATAAAAATCGCGCTGGTCATTATCAAAACGTTCCCGTATTGAAGTTTCGTTTGCAATGCCGGTATACGTATCGTAATAATAGCGGTCCTCGCATAATGACCATTTAATAGCTGTGCTTTCGAGTGTGCAAATTAAATTTCAATAACTGGGTATACATATGCATTCGTAATTATAGGAATGCTTGCAGCTTAGGCTAACGTTCAAAGAGTATCTATGGAGAATACGAAATGCTTGCAGTGTAGTATTCGTTCCAAAAATCTCATTATGCATAATTGGAAATTACTCGGCGAGTGTGGCTAATTGCCCCTATCTGTCCGCTAATTATAATCATCAAGTTTGCATTCAAATTATTGAATTGACTGGAAAAATAAGCGATCAGAGAATGAAAATCAATTCAGTTGCCGCACTTTTCACGAGTCGCTCGGTAGCAACAGCAGCAGCAGCAGCAGCAGCAGCATAATCGAGTTCTGCAATTGATTGACGGTAAAATGAGAAAATGGTCGACGGGGACATGTACGCAATGTTCCTCGAGTTGAGAATACAATGCCAGCTTTTTTCTTTGTCCTTTCCTCGAAGACGCAAAAGTGGGGAGAGGAAAGATGAGAGCGACCAAAAGATATGCGTGCGTTTTACGAGTGTGCGTGGCGCACATTTGCCTAAATGGCAACGGGAATTCGCGCCGGACGTGTCACGCGGAGGGTCGCACGTAAAGCGGAAGCGTTTGACTCCAACATTCAGCCAATACAGAAGTAGGGGAAAAAAGACAGCAGCAGGCAACGCGTAACGAAATGGCAAAGCGCGCGCAAGGCATCGAAGAAAAGCGAGAGACAAGCGCCTTTCTCTGCTGTAGGGTAGGAGGCGCGCGCTTTGCTCTCTTTTTCCTTTCCAGTATTTGGCTGTACCCATAGTACCTGCCTGTCTATGCCGTGCTTTACCCTTTATCGTTCGGTAGACTGACTTCTCTCTTTCTCTCTCTCACACACACACATAACACACTTTGTCCTTGTAAAGCTCACGACTGGAATTTAGTTTAAGGGAAAAGGGGGTTTTCCGGTCAAAAAATCTGATCGACGGCGCGCCACTGAATCTCTTTTCTTCTTCGACTCTGAGCGACTGAGAGCAAAGGCAAAAGAAAATAATACTCGTGCGGGCGAGTATTAAAATTTGCAGATTGTTGGTACACAAACGAGTGAAGAGCGAGGGCTTTTAGCTTGACGGTATTTGTTGTTTTTTCTATCAAAAACACCACCTCGATTTTTCGAAAGATGAATAAAACAAAAGAAAAGTACTCACCCTTGCTTTTGATGTGTGTTTCAGCCCGATGGCTGGCTGGCTTCTGTTGCTCTGAAAGAAGAAAATAATGTCTGTGATTAGACAGGTGATGTGTTAAGCGAATCGCGTTACTAGATGAAAATAAGAGCACTTAGGTGATTCACATAAGTCAGATTTTGTACGGAAAGTGCGTTGATTTTTATTATACCATTCACTATATTGCGTATAATGAACAATAATCATGCATAAAGAAACTGCTGAAAGTAAAACAGATTGATGGCTGAACACTAACGAAATCCACGGATGCGGGGTGGCAGATCGGCGATGCTACATCATACATCAAGCTCATGCGGGGTGGTGAAGAGAGGACTGCAAAGTTTACCTCGGTATCCGGCGACTGGACAATGAGGGAGGTCCTGGGTGGCTTCTCGGGCGGGACCTTTTTCAAAGTGCCGGTAAAGTTGAGGCTGGTACCGACAGACGCTAGGCTAGGCTGTGAGCACGGCACGTCGAGATTATCATTAGTCTGCTGCATGCGTTGTAGTTGAGAGAAAGGAGTACGCGACAGCACGTCAGCGCGATCGAATTGCGAGAGACTGGGCAATGGCATCTGCGAGATATTTGGAATCTGAATGGAGTCGCTGAAATCCGAGTCCTCTTGAGCTTGTTGTTGCTGCTGTTGTATTCGAGGCGATATGCGAGCGTCCGAGGTTAGATATCCGGCAGATTGTACTTGCGAGACTGTGGTCAAAAGTGGCTGACCGTACAATTGTCGCGATGCATTGATGCATTGATTCAGAATCGACTTGTTCGTTTGCTCCTGATCGCTATTCTGATCACGACTGCTCGCCGTCGAGAATTCGGAGCTTTTGTTCTGGCTCAGCTTCTCGGCTATTTGGCTTTGCAAGTGGAGATTTTGCATGCGATGCTGGAAATCGCTCGGTTGGTATGTAAATTGCGAGACCTTGTCCAGTATTTCGTTCTGACTCTGCAGGCAGTGCAGCTTGGCTTGTAAATCGCTTTGTTGTCGCTCACATTGGCTCAGCTTCTCGGCAATGAAATCGATGCTTTGCTTGTTGTGGAACATCTGTTGAGCGTGAATGTCTTGACTGTCAATCTTGTCGTTAGCTGCGTTAGGCTGACTCTGCGAGTTATCGTGATTCTTCTCGGCATTCGAGGATGACAGGTTTTGACTCTTACGATGGCTATGGATGATGTGATCGACTTGTTCGAATGGTTTGGAAGGTATGTCGTTGAAATCTGTTACTATTGTCAATGGCACCTTAGACTCTAATTTAGCTTCGCTTTGAGCGGAGTACTGATAACAAATAGGGCTAGCTCGAGATATGACGTTCGTTGTGGACGTTAACGAACCCGTCGTACCCAAATTAACAGCAGAGCCAGTGATATGTTGATCGTCAAATTCCTTGCGCGAGGCTTCCATATGTTTCGTCAGATCAGCACTTACGTGTCGCAAATGACGACGTTGCTCTAGAATTGAATTCTGAGTTATATTTGCTATCGGCTGGAATGCCGAAGTTGTCATGGGTACTCTAGATTCTTTGTCTATTTGCCCGTAACTCCGACTTTCTGGTCGTCTTTCTTCGGAGGGTGCACGAGAACGAGGACTCGTAGTATATATCTCTCGATTTTGCATCATCCTACTTTCAAGCTCTTGCCTTTGACGTTGTTCTGCCCACATAACTAATTCCGCCCGCGTCTTTTCAAAATTATTTGGCAGATTATTTGGACTCTTTTGACAGATACGATCGGAAGCATTGGTGTCGCGAATAGGTACGAAAGTCATTGGTGAACGTCTCACTTCGTCGAGACGTTTGCCATCGATCATCATCGGAGATCGTCGATGATCGTCAAAATAATCCGAGCGTCTATTTTCTTGAGGTACAACGATACGCTGACTAGGGCTAAGGCTACTCCATTCAACGGATTTTCTCTCTCCAGTTACTAGAATACCTTTGGGTGCTACACCCAACGTCGGCAGAATGGGCATAGGTGACATACGCATGCTGGCATTCATATCTAGTCTCCTCTGCTGCTCAATGAAATTCGAAGTATTTATATCCGGTTTAACATCACTAATATTCGCGTTGGAATGGGGCTTACGATTAGTGGATAACATCGATTCTGCCTGTGTACTGCTTTCACCCGGAAACGTAAACGTTATCGTATCGTTACGCCTTTGAAAGCTACTCGATGTATCAGCCGATATAGACTTTCTACGCTCAGGCCTGGACACGTAGATTCCGCGCTCGGAACCTTCAACGTCGCTACTAATAACTGACTGTTCCCTTGAAACATCTCCATTCGCTTCCACGTATAATCCATCTTGCCTCGTTCGAGGTACTTGATTCGTGGATACGTATCGTCTTTCAGGATTATCCTGATTAGGTTGCTGCGTGTCTTGAGCGATTTGATTCTCATCGGATTTTGACTTTGGCCCTGTTTGGGCATCCATACTAATGGACTTACGATGTCCAGATTCATGGGTAATTTTGGAATTTACTCGGGGAGGAACCGACGGTTTCGGTCCTCGAGGAGGTTTGTCGGCGGAAACGGCTGCAGAAGGGTGCGCTACATTTTGTGCTATAGGCTGTATTATCGGTTGGCCTTGATACCCTGACATCTCTTGAGAAAATCTTTGAGGATTTGGTGAATGTTGTGCAGACGGAGTTTGTTGTGTTTGCTGTTGGCTGTACTGTTGTGGATAAATAGTTTTCGTCGGATTATACGGTCCTGTATTCATCACAGTCTGCGGATACTGACTGTAGTGAATCTGTGGACCAAAATGAACGTAACCAGCAGCAACGGTCGGCTGAAGCCCTATACCCTGTTTAGCGTAAAACGTTGGCGCCTGTCCAGTCGATTGTGGAGGAAGTTGCGTTTGCGGAGGTTGCTGCATATATGTACCCTGTGGAGCGGCTATTGCCATACTCTGCGTATACAGACCCGAATCCCTGAAACTTGGGTCCCTCGACACGTACTGTGCCTGAGCGGGATTATAAATGCCGCTATGAATCTGCGAATACTGAAGTGAATCAGGTGGCGCAGCTATCACGTATTCGGGACCAAGGTGGGCCGCGGCCTGCGATACAAATTGTACCCTATCAATCACGATATTGTCGTGATATGGCTGATGAGTCAGTAGTACCGGTACCGACGGTGCTCGCTCTTCCACGTGTGGCTGATGATTTTGCGTTTGAACTTGACTTTTGGTATTTGTCTGATCTTGCGCATCGTTAGGCCGAGGGAGTGGAGGGCGATTGGCGCGGACTTCAAATCCATTGGACATATCGCTTTTGACAACGTCCGCCACGATATCGGTACGTCCGTTCTGACGGCTGTTTTGACTTTCATCTTGCTGGATCGTCGCACCGTCAATGCTGAAGCCAGATCCCGATGAAGGCTGCGACATGGTGGGGCCCACCGGCCTACTGCCGATGTAGCCAAGAATTCGCCCCAAGCCGCACACTGTGATGAATTACCGAGTACTAGGGCGGAATCCAAGCTCATCGGGTGACGAGAACATCAGCTTCGTTTGAAGCTAGATGTCCTATGGGCACCCGCGGTGCTCATTTACATCGGAATTGTTTTGTTGATGCTGTTGAAATGGACAAATTGACTAAGTAGTTATTTATTGTTTATAGTCTAAAAAATCCTCAGCTAACGTGTCAATCTATCTAAAAAGGGCTTCTAAAAATGGCTGTTGGGCGTTATTAATTCGCACAGGCCTCGTCCGTCGATCAGGCTAACTCGACAACATCACATTCTCAAAACATCCCGAAGAAAGTCACTCGGCAAGCTAACTATGTAAAGCACAGGTTATTGGGACAGCGAGGAGCATCGTGCAATGGGGCAACTTGTCACGAGCGACGCCCAGCCAAGTGAGACGTAATTGCGCTGGGCAGTAGCCGAGGTGATTCATAACTCAGTGTATCGGTAGCAGCGTTCGCTTGCAGCGTCAGGAGTCTCATCGTCCCGAGCAAACGAAATACTCCGTCAATTTAAGCGCGCAACAAGAAATGTTCTTTCTTCGCTCTTCTTTCATTAGAACTCCCTCGTGGGAGCGCTGCTACGCTGTGCCTGCGACGGCTTTCAATTAAGCCAGCCGCGTGCGAGCCACGACCGAACGAGTTTATCTGCGAAACAAACAAATTACAGTTTAGTACGGACCAGCAGCGGCAGCACTAGTGGTGGCGAACAAGAGGTGCATTGGGCGAAAGCGCGTTGCAACTGCTACCTATGCATAGGTGTATGTGTTATGTGTGTATGTGTCGTGTAACGTGTGCGCGTAGTAAAACGATAATCTGGTCATCTGTAAGTTTTGAAACGAGTCGCCACCGCCAACATTGGTTCAGCAGGGTTTACTCTATTACACGTATAACGTACGACGACAACGCGAGGTGTTGGTCGCTGATTACTTTTTATAGCAGAACCATTCCTATTGCTACTAGCATTTATAGTGCTCCCTTTTTCTGTTCTTTTTTTTGAGGGGGAGGGGAGGCAGCTTAGACAAAAATGAATTGATTTGTTTGAAAAGACCAATTTGAATATGAACGTAAACTTTTATATTGAACTTGTGTAAAAAACGTTTGTATTATGCTTTAGAGCACACGAGATCTGACGGGGTTACCATCCCGACTAAGCTTAGACAGGATTGACAACAAGGTATACATCACGAGTTGTTCGCGCCTACCTTTCGAACGCATTGCGCTAAGTTTTACGTATAATCAATAAACTATATTAAACTGCCCCTTGTACTTTGTTGTTTCAATTAAAGCCAGATTAAATCGAAAAAAAATTCTAAAAAGGTAGTGAACACTCTTTTAGCGTTTAATCATCTTCAAGAGTGAAAAGTTATTGCAACATTTGACTGTTTAGTGAAATAATTGGTTTTGCAGTGGAAGATATAAAGCGCAATCAGGGATTGTCAGAATCTTCAACAGATTTCAATGAAAGTAGTCAATCAGAGCAAGAGATGAGCAACAGGCAAAGTGGTTCATCAAAAGTACATATTCAATAAACGACTTCAGTCCCATCGGCAAGTTACAATAGAGAAAAATAAACCACAGTAACCGTAATAAAAGAGACTAGTTCTATATCTTGATCGCAATATCGAATCAATCGGCATGCCCATAGGATCTTCTTGGAGATTGCGTCAATAAGATATTTCGTGCAATTACTCGCTTCCATCGTCTCCTTAACCCAGATGGCACACAAGAAAAGCCCGACTGCTGAAATAATGGAGGAGCGAGCTCTGCTGCTTTGCCACGAGAAAAGCTAGCAAAGAAGAGAGAAGCTGCTCGCCGATATTTCCAGGATAGATAGGTACGTAGCGAGAAAGAGAGACGTTAGCAAGGGGGAGAAAGAAGCACACTCGAACGATCCGCTGGATCCTCTCGCAATCTATTCCGCCAGTCATCGTATGTACGGGTCTAAAAGAGGAACGACTATATAACCAAAAAACCCATTGAAGAACGATTCCCTCTCTCAACCTGAACTCTCTCTCTCTCGCCCGCTCTCCACTTGTCCCTTTTTTCCACTCCTTCCGGCCAGCGGTCTCGTTTCAATTCCACCGCCGAAGGATAATCTCACGACGAAGGTACACACACATACATGCGCACACGCGCAGGCATGCACACGGAGCGACGAAAGCAAAGTTTCGCCTCTCGCTATATGTAATATTGAGTGCAGGCACTTTCTCGGGGCAAGCGACGACGACGGCGACGGCGGCGACTTCTCGGCCTCGCGTCGGAGTTGGAGGACCGTCCGAGATTAATGGGCAAAGTTCGGCTGGTGCGCGCCTGATTCGGCATTACTTAACTGGCGTGTGCACTAGCCTCCTTTCTCCTTCCTTCCTTCCGATCGTTGTCGTCGGCGCCTGCAGGTAAACGTCTTTAGCGCACAGCGCTGCACTTTCGCGCGCCAACTCACCAGTTTGACATCGATCCGGGCTATCGCGCCACCCCTCTCTTGGTAAACAGTTTAACGCGATTACAACGATCCTTCCCTATCTTTATTACGTTAGATCGCCTTCCAACTTTCGATTAGTCTCCAAATGCTCTCTCGATTACATTGTCGTTAGGTTATTCCAATCCCTCGTTACAATTGCACGATTAGCAGCTTTATTTGCAGTAAGTAACTGCTCCGAAAATTTAACGCGCAAGTTTTATCATTCGGTAATGTCGGGGCAACGTTGACATGTATGAAATATAGCATATAGCCTGGAGTATTTATCTATCAAAAAGCTCAGCGCTTAAAGAACGGAACGACATATCCTGCCAGTTAAACTTTCTCCTGGACGAAAAAGCTCGTTTGCAAAGCCATCGCCTAAAAGCATCGAATGTAACTCCGACGGAGTGCGAGAGAGAAAGGAAGGGTCAACTTTTCATACACTTTGTCTCCCACGCGAGTGAAACGAACGAAAAATCTGCGCGCGCGCGCAGCGCTTGCCGCGAGCGTTCGAGCTCGGCCAATTCTACGTATTTTCGCGACGCAAAGAAGGAAAAAGAGGGATAGCCAGGACGCAGTCGGCCGTCAGTGTATTACGTGTTGGCGATTCATCAGCGCGTTTCACGTAATATCCGCACATCGCGTGTGCTTCGCGTTTGGCCAAGAAAACTTACTACACTTCGCGAGCGAAAACTAGAAATAAAATGCGCGACGCACCAATGGGAAGGCAAGGTGGAGAAGCTAGGGATGAGGTGCGCATCTGCGGCAGGGATGAAAATTCTAGCTACTTCTCTCTCCCTCTCTTCCTCACTCTTGCTTGCGTCGCTCGTTTGTCCTCGTCCTACGTGTGTATGTGTGTGTTGCGCGCGCGTGCTAGCACAGTCGTTCGTTTTTAACCTTTTCTCCAGCTTTCTGTTTTTTATTTCTTGTTTTTTTATAGTCGCAAATCTTTCTTTTCCTCACTCACTCTTCTCTCTCCACTCGTATCTCTCTCTCTCTCTCTCTTTCTAACTCTCCCTCTCTCTCTCTCTCTCTCTCTCTTTCTAACTCTCCCTCTCTCTCTCTCTCTCTCTCTCTCTCTCTCTCTCTCTCTCTCTCTCTCTCTCTCTCTCTCTCTCTCGACTTATTTTATCTCTGAGGCGACGCCGCCACGGTAAAAGCTTTGCTCTGCTGCGCTGCTGCCAGAGCTAATGAGCCAGCCAGTTGTGTTGCCGTCGTCCTGCTGCTGCAGAGTGTGTATGAACTCGTTTCTACGTTTATTCCTTTGCTTACTACGCCGCCGTCGGTACACGTTTATCACAGTCGACTCACGAATAAATAGTAAATTGGCCAATTACTTTCTATTCATCAATGCCACGCCAATATTACAATATCATTCTAATAAACCTATCTTAAAACTGTTATAATTTCTTCAACAATTTGGAAAAGTGCTTCTTTTTACAAGTGCAAAAGCATTTTACCGTGGTAGGAAATCAAATAAATATATCTGTAGTAATATAATAATGAAGCATATAAAAGACCAATAATGAAATGTTTGTTCTGGTACATAGAGCTTTATCGACTAAGATTACAAGAATGGCAGGCAGTATATTCTGCCTCTATATATCTTTCGTCAAAGTGATTGCTGACCAAACCTGTGATTGATCAGCTTTTAAATTGTTTTCTGCGGATCTAAAAGGTCTTTATTTTTTCCTCGATTGGCTCTAAGTTTTTATTATGTCTATGCGAATTATGTAAAAAAATTAATTGTATTTTTCTTTAACCAGCTTACTGAAATCTCGATGTTAAGCTTTTTATACTTATAATTACATCAATGTATACTTAAATTAATTAAAAGTGAAAAATGTGATGTGATCTTTGATCATACTAACATAATTAATTAATATTTCATTAAAAGTAATTGGGCAGCCATTAATTGGAATTTTATTGAGTTTAAAATTGATAATTATAACTAATTAAAAACTACTGACTTAATTTGGTCGGAAATTTATTGTGTCATAAACATTATTCGAGAGCATTAATGTCAATTAAGAGCATTTATGCTGCATCCTACTTATTGAA